CTTCTTTCTTTCCCTCCCTCCCTCCCTCCCTCCCTCCCTTCCTCCTTCCCTTTAATTTCTTGCTTTCCAAGAGTTCAGGAGGATTTAATTGCTGTGAAGCTCTAAACCTCAATTTCCAGTGTGTGCAGATAACTCTCTTTGTGGAATTGAATTTTTTACAGCTGCCTCTTTTGCTACTGGTAAGCTGCTCTAGTTAAATAAAGGAAAGTTCTTGCAGGAGTTGAAAGATCCTACTTGAAGATTTGGGGATCATAGTGCATAATCTGAAATCTAATGACCCAGAGGTTGGAACGTTACCCATAATTACAGTTATGGTGCCAGAAAGAGAGATAAAGAGGTGCCGTTAACTGTGACGAGCACCGGTGCCTGAACTGGCCACATCTCCGGAAACCCCAATTTGCCTTTTCCGCGTCACAAATGAGAGCGATTGCTCTTTGTGGCCTGGGCGTTAAAAAACAAAACTAAACAGAACCAAACCAAACCCAGCGCCTGGGGCTGTGGTACAGGGTTTACTAGTTGGCTGCAAGTTTCTGCCGAAAGAGGGCGTTCGTCTAAGAGTAATAGAAATATGTGGATACGGATGCCCGGTCAAATGAAAGACCATTTCAAATCATATTCATTTTTTTTTAAATTTGCGGGACTCAAGTGTCAGAATCCTCTCGTCCAATGTAGCACGTTCACATTGCAAATGACCTCGGTGTGTCACCACGTTCATTGGGTCAGGTTCTGTCCCGACCCGCCCCGCAGCGCGACGGACTCCGGCGCTGCTTCTCTGGCCACGGACTTGTCCACCGCTGTTTCAGTCCTTGTCTCCACTGCTGTGGTGGCTGTGGGCAGGGGCAAGGCTGGGTCTCCGACGCAGGACCCTTCTTGGCATGCAGAACCCCTAGCACTGTGTCTCGCGCGCTTCCAAGGTAAAGCAGTTGGATTTCCGAGCGCTCGGATTGGATCAGTGGACGCGCCGGCACCCAGAGAACGATTTAGCAAGAAGGTCTCTATTTAGTTACCTGGTTTAGCAAAGCCCTGAGGACGCCTTTGATATGTTTTTCAAGCTTTTTGCCACCTTCAGAAGCCGAACGGCTCGCTGGACTTTGGAAGCAACAAGTTTCGTTTTTTTGATCGCAGCGAGCCCGTGGAAGGTCTGTGCGCAGGGCCACCGGGATCCCCGCAAAGCTGCGAAGCCAGGCTAACGCGGCGCGGGGCGGAGGAGGGAGGGGGAAGGCGGGGGAAGGAGGGGTGCGAGTAATGCGCAGGCTAGCCGGGCGGTGCAGGTCCGTGGATCAAACTGTTGCACTGGACCTCGGTCCTGTTCTCTGACCTTGTGCCAGGGGGCCGGGAAGGTCGGGTGCCCGCCCGGAGTTGACGCGTCAGGAGGGAATGTGGCCAGAGTGAGAAAAAGGTGAGAGCGAGCGGGACCTATGGATTTTTGCAACGAAACCACAAATTTCTAGGACTACCCTCTTCCTCTAATCCTGCTGCTTTTTCTTACGGCGTGAGTGTGCCGGAGCGCGTTTCTTTGCTTTCAAAGACCTTGTCTTTTTAAAGCCCGGAGCTGGGGAGAACACTGCAGCTTTCGGGGCCAGGGAGAGGATGGCGCCCCTGAGGCGGTGAGGTGCGGGCCCCCGCCGGTGCAGGCGTGGGCGACTGCGGCTTTAAGGAAAAGGCCCAGGGCTGGCGGCGAGTGGGGTTAGGGACAGCAGAAGGGTGGGAAGGGTACGGGTGCGGGGAGGAGCCCTGATGTAAGAATGTTAATGAGAGGCTCCCCCAGCCCAGCCCCCACCACTCCCCACCCCACCCCCACCCCCCGCTGGAAATACAAGCCCGGCCTCGGCTGGCCATGTGTGGTAACACGCTCCGCCGCTGCCACGCTATTTAAACGCGGGCTATGGATCCAGGAACCCGCGCGAATCAATGAGATCAAACGAGAGGGAGATGCACCGTCAATTACAAGCACTTGGACAAGCCTAACTTTTTTTTTTTTTTTACAAATACGCTTCAAAAGAAACCTTAGCAACGCCCATATAAGAAGCCACCTCTAAGCAAAATAGTATATTTAAAGCAAGGGCGAATATATATATATATAACTATATGTATATATATATATATACAAATATATTACAGGCGTAACAGGTTTACACCTGGTGAGCTTTTCTTCTTTTTCTTTTTTAAAACTAGTGACATTGCAAAGAAGGATTCTTCCTATCTTTTGGCGAGTTAGTTAGTCAAGGGGCTATTCTATTTTTTTAAAGCGCCCAAGGGGGCGCAGGGACCTCGGCGAGAAGAGTGGGGAGGAAAGAGGAGGTGGGTGGGGGGCAGAGGGCGAATCGGCTGCGAGGGCAGGAGCTTTCCTACGGCACGATGCCGTCCCGGCTGGTGCTCGCTTTCTCCGCGTGCGTCCTGCTCGGCTGCTCGTCGCGGGCCAGCGGCACGGGCGGCGGCGGCGGGCGCCTGGAGCCGCAGACGATCGAGGTGCTCGTACTGTTGCCCCAGGATAACTCGTACCTGTTCTCCCTGGCCCGGGTGCGGCCGGCCATCGAATACGCCCTGCGCAGCGTGGAGGGCAACGCGACCGGGCGGAGGCTTCTGCCGACCGGCACTCGCTTCCAGGTGGCCTACGAAGACTCAGACTGCGGCAATCGCGCACTCTTCAGCCTGGTGGACCGCGTGGCGGCGGCGCGGGGCGCCAAGCCGGACCTCATCCTGGGGCCCGTGTGCGAGTATGCGGCGGCGCCTGTGGCCCGGCTTGCGTCGCACTGGGACCTACCTATGCTGTCGGCCGGGGCATTGGCCGCCGGCTTCCAGCACAAGGACACCGAGTACTCCCACCTCACGCGCGTGGCGCCCGCGTACGCCAAGATGGGTGAGATGATGCTCGCTCTGTTCCGCCACCACCAATGGAGCCGCGCCGCGCTGGTCTACAGCGACGACAAAATGGAGCGCAACTGCTACTTCACCCTCGAGGGGGTCCACGAGGTCTTCCAGGAGGAGGGTTTGCACACGTCCGCCTACAATTTCGATGAAACCAAAGACTTGGACATGGACGACATCGTGCGCTACATCCAGGCCAGTGAGCGAGGTGAGCGGGAGCGCGCCCCCGGACCCCAGCCATAACCCAACCTTTCTCCGCGGCTCTCCCTACACACCTGCACCCCTCTCTGCGGACCCCACTACCCCTACAGCACTGAGGACCTGGGGCGGGGGGCGCGAGCGGGCACTCGTCCGGGAGTGCGCTGTCTGGCTGCGAGAACCTTTGACCATCGCTCATTAGAATCGCAGGGTGTAGGCAGAGGGTCCAGGGAAGGTGATGGAGCAGGAGGAGGGGCGCCTTCGCCCGCAGCTCCCGCGTGCCCAGTTTGGACAGGTGCTGTCAAGCCGCCTGGGGTTTTTCTTCCTCATTACCCGGTCGGCACGCGGGGTTGGTGGTTAGCTGCACCGTCCTGGTACCGCGCTCCAACTGGGGTCTGAAAGCGTGCGGAGGCGGAAAGAACTTGTTACCCAGCGCTTTTCCGACGTGCGCCCACTCCTAGTGCAGAAGCGTGGCGGACACTGCCTGCAGCGCGCCACCATCTCTAGTCTGGGTCTCCGGGTTCCCCGGGCTGTTTCTGCCACAGATTCTACCTAACTTTCTTTTAAAGGCTGATTGTATCGCCCTTCACATTCTTTGCATGGCCCCTCCAACTCCTTATAAACGAGCTTCTGTGGTTTCCACCGAAAACGCCTCGCTGTGTGTGGACTCAGGCGGCACTCACTTTCCCCAACGCGTTCCGCACCGCGGTCTGTAAAGCGCCTAGAGCTAGGCTTTGCGGAAGCTAGCGTTGAAACTCCTTTCCACGTGTCTCCCCACCTCCGTTCGCCCCCCCCCGGATCTGTGGGGGTTTGAGTAAACACCGAACTGGACAAAGCGCTCAAGGCTGAGCATGGTGGCTGGGGCTACGGGGAGCGGGAGGAGAAGCGCAGTTCCCTCCTTCCTGGTGTCAGGTTTAGGGCTGGGGAATCCGGCGCCCCCTGGGCGCGCTCGCGCCTGGGTTGTCAGTGGAGCAATCCCGGCGAAGCTCCCCAGGACCCTAGCGGGGAGACTGAAGGGGAGAGGGGCTGAGCCATAGGCGGGGCTAGTCCATGACTTAGTGGGGCCGGGTACCTGGACGCTGGCCGTGGGTGATAGCGCTACTGGAGGTGGGGCCTCAGGAACAGGTGAGAGTGGGCAGGGGCGCCACGGAGGACAGCACTGCGGCCACCCCGGACTCGGAGTGAACGCACTTACTAGACCGAAGACGTGGTCGGTGTTGACAGTGGAGACCCAGGGTCAAGGTTTGAGCGTTCGAACTCCAGGCTGTCTGCGCCAAATCCCTGCCAGCCAAGCAGGCGGGGCGCAGGCATTTTTGATTATGAAAAAGGGCACTTGTGTATGCGAAGGCTGCGGACTCACCACGGCGGGCGGAGAAACCCTCATCTACCTTCTCCCCACACTCAGTTCCCAGGTTTCTGCAGACCCCTGTAGACCTCTGGCTCTCTGGCCCGGGAACCTGGTTCTTCAGTTCTTGGCTTCTGAGGACCTGGAGCTACGAGTTAGAGACCTCACAGGAAGGGCTGGAGCTGGGGGTGCGTACTTCTCGGGCGAGATCCGAGGTGGACCCACGCGCCTGTGTAGAACTGCCCAGAAGATCTCAATGCAGGCGGTGACCCCCAGCGGATATCACCTGGGATTAGTGACTTTGGGGAGCTGTCAGTCCGGTGAGCGCAAACCGCGGCCACGTGGCCGCTCAGCCTCACAATAATGTGGCTGAGGCCAGGGGTTAGACAGGAAGTCAATTCCCTGATGGGCCTGGGGGAGGTGTCGGGGGTGGTTCAGAGAGCGTGGGCTACTGATTAGTTCTTAACTCCAAAAGCCTGGTAGATAATGTTCCCAAGTTTCTTCGCTTTTTTTTTTCTTCCAAGTCTGAATTTAGCGGTGAAGTTTGCTTGGCTGACCTGTATGTTTTAGAAGTGGTAAGGTTGCCATTCTTACTGTAAAATATATTTCGAACAGTGACGACATAGAAAACAAAATAGTTTCTCCCTAAGGCACCTCACTTGCTCCCTCTTTCCTACCCCTGTTCCTTACTTTCACGAAAGAAAGTTCCTTCTTTATTTTTTATCCCTTTGTTTGATAACAAAGCTCGCTCTGGGGATCATTCACCTTTTGCTACTTAGTTCATAAGTAGTTAATGGGTTAAATACCGGTTCGGAGGAGGTTGACTTCCTGAGCGTCTGTCGTACCTCAGGCACGCATTGGGGAGCGAGCTTGGGCTGATACTAAGCCTCTGTACCTCAAGCCCATCAGGCAAAACTGGGCAGTGAGGCACCCCCATCTTGGGAATGCTGGGAGGTTTAGGTGAACTAACACAGAGGATGTGCTGAAACAGTGCCAGAGGTGTACCGAGTGCTCAGAAAATGTGAGGTGTTATTATAGTTTTTATTATTATTTTATATTTATGATGATAATCACCTTTAACAGAAGGTAAGGTCAGGCTGAGGGGAAAGAACCCTCCTGAGAAGCAGATGCTCTGGATTTAGTATCCATATTCAGCTGCTGGGGGCCTGTGCAGATCACTTACCTTTTCTGAGGCTGAATTTCCTCCTCTGTGAAACCCTGAGATGGGGTGAGAATCACTCTCTTCAAACTGATGTTGGGTGGTTCTGATTTGTGCTCCTTCAAGTGTAAACATGTAACTGATGTATTTTTGTCTTTGAAAATTCCATATTAAACATAATAGAACTAGAGAGTTCCTCCTCCTTTTTTAGATCATATTTTTAGCACGTATTTTGTACTTAAGTTCGTATTTAAAATCAGACCACAAATGTTTGGATCTCTTCAAGGGTAAAAACTAGTAATGCCACCATCTCAAGTAATAATGTGACTAAAATTCCATCTGGCCGTGTTCTGTACTGTAGAATGAAAAACAGGGGTATTTATCATTGCTTTTAGGGACTTACCAATGAAGTCAATAATTAAAAAATTCTTCTTCCTCTCATGTCTTTAGCTAACATGCTATCACTAGAATATACACACCTGAACATATATTATTTAAAAAGAAAAGATCTTTATTTAAAACTGGTTCAATTATACAGTCAGCTACTGTCTTCAGCATTCTATACTTAACAATAAATTTCTTTTTCAAAAGGCAAGTTTAAAAAGGTATTCTTTTCCAAGTAATCAAAGCCAGCAGTTGTTTTGTCCATATATCATATAAGATGCAGAATTGAAGTATTACACACATAGACATTTTTGTATGAAGAACTGTAGTTTTATCCTTTTTGTTATTAATATGTCATTAATAATCTGGGCCTGTATAACAACTGTAGAGATAACAGAATTTAATCAGTACAAGAGTCATTTATTTTTAGAATTAGGCTGGGGTAAATGACCAGAGTGTTTGATCAGCAGAATTTTTAAGCAAAGAATCCATGATAAGTATAAAATGACTAACACAGGGCAGGGGAGAAAAGAAGCATTGTAGGCTACAGGGTAGAAATTCTGAAGGCCTTTGGAGTAGATGGAGTTTGTGAACAGCACAAATAAAAGTGCAATGTCTATTTTGCAAATGAGACCTATTGGTATGTAGCATAGAAACAGCCAGGAAAATCTCAAAAAAATAGATTTTATTTTTATGAAAGTTATACAGCTATATAGTTTACAAAGTGGCAAAAACTCTTACACAAGTTTTATTAGGAACAAGAGTTTCCTGTTTCCTGCTCCCCATTTCTCACTTCCTAGAGGCAACTATTTTCAACTCATGTAGCTGTTTCTTTAGGTATTTGAGTTCATACCTCTAATTAACATGTTATTTTTTAATTTTTTTCAGTTTTATTTCTTATCTCTTGCCATCCAGGTGATTTAGTTCTCGTCTACTGCCTGTTAATCACACACACAAGCTTTCCTTCCAGTCATCCTTCCAAAATGGATGTACCAAAATTTTTGATCAGCTCTGCATTCAGTGTCTATTATTATTATTGTTGCCCTCCAAATGCTATTGTAGCCGAGCTATATAAGCCACTACAGTGACATTTTCTTTATCACCTTGCTTATTTTCCTTGGGGTTAAACAATAAAATCTGTTTTTCTTTGTTTTCTTAGTTTCCTATGGACTTAGAACAAATCATCTACCAATTCTCTATTTTAAGTCTTCTGAGCTGCTCCAGTACAGTTATTTTCTGAGCCTGCTGTACAGTTGTCATTCTGGATTCTTTCTTCAGCATCTTCAGCATCTTCTGCAACTCCCATCACCTCTTTCTTGGGCTAGATCCCTGTGTGTTCCTCTTTCTTGATTTATGCTCTTGTTTTCGTGGAGCTTATTCTCCAGGAACTTTCTGAGAAAGGAGGGATGAGAACTAAGTTTGAGACCTTTCATGACTGTAAATTTCTTCACCCTACCCATGTACATAATTATACAATTCCATGTTGGAAACTGCCTTTTCCCTTAAAATTTGAAGGATTGTCTTCAGATTCCAATGTTGCTATTGGGAAGCTTGAATTGATTTGGGTTCTTGACCTATTTATTGCTTGGTATCTGTTTTCTTTTTCTGGAAATTTCTAGAATATTCTCTTTGCTCCCACTCTTTTAACATTTCAGTATGATGTACCTTATGCCAGTATTTTGCCTTAGGTACTTTAGGGTGTTGAAGGTTAAGCCTCTTCCGTTCAGAAACTCATGCCTTTTCGTTCTGGGAAGATTTCTTAAATGTTTTTTTTAAATTTTCTTCAGCTTCTTTGTTCTCTCTTTCTAGAATTTATTTTATTTGGATGTTAGATTTCCTGGATTGAGACTCTACTTTTATTATCTCCTTTCTCCTATTTGCCACTTAAAAAAAATTCCTCTTACTTCGATATTTCTTGACTATTTGCAGAATTACTATTGAGTTTTGGTTTTTAATTTCTGCTCTCATATTTTCAGTTTTTAGCACATGGCAGATCTTGCTTTGCTTCCATGAAGTAGTATCTCTTTTCCCTTATAAGTTTAAGAATTAAATGGAAGATGGATGCAGCAGTCAGATGGAGAATATGAAAATGTTGTTTTTATGATTGATAAAACCTATTGGAGAACATGGATTTAAACCTGTTGTCAAAAGGTCCTGCTTACTATTCCTTCCCCCCAGAATTAGGCAAGGCCATCCACAAAGTCACAGATAGTGCTGTAGGACACCCCCTCCACCCTTTTCAGGATAGGTTCCTTATCACATGACGAAAGTCTCCTATCATTTATGCTCTCTGCAAGCAGACACACCCCAAAGAGGAAGGAAGAAATGGCTGAGTCTAGTATGCCCAAATTTTTTCTTCCAGAGTCACCAGTCAGACAATTCACTTCTTTTCCTCGGCTCCTTGGGGATAAATGAAGGCACATTGAGTGATGAAGAATGCCCCCTAATTAGAGATGGCTATAAAAGGAAACTTGAGACTGAGGAGAGGCTATCCATCCTAACTCAGCCGTGCTTCCTGGACTGTTTTTTGGTCACTGAATTCAATAGCCACCCTCCTGCACTTCTCTCTGCCATTCTCAGAGTGATCACAAGAACATGTTGCAACAGATAGAAGCCACTTATAGAAGTCATTGCGGAAATCAGATAGTGGAGGGTGACATGGACCATCCCAAGTTGTTTGTCGGGGACTAAATAGAGCAGATTGATGAAAAGCCTATCCAGAAACTTTGGATCATGCAACCATTCCCCTTTTGAGAAGTTTAACAGTTCGACCAAAAGAAATGAATACTTATATATTTAAATATACTTAAATACAGCAGAAATGGTCTTAATTGTCCTCCACTTAAGCAGCCGCAGGATTAGCTAATGCTTTTTTTCTCTGCAACTGTGTTGACTGTTAGTGAATCTGGTAGTTGTATACTTGTCCTGAGTATGCCACACGCTTCTCACATTGGTCCATATACTTCCCAGAGTTGTCCCCAAATCTGTTTATGCCAGTTGTGCTTATTATCGTAAGTATGAAATTTAATATTATATAAACTGTTGAAACATGAGTAGGAAGAGAAAGCTATTTCAGTGAAAACTATTTAAAACTTTCTGATAGATTGTATAAAGACAAGTTGCTAAAAATACATGCTGCTGAATGAGGCATGAATGAAACAGCCATAAGGGATTACTGAATGTCCTACAAGGCTAGGAGGATGCTGCATTCTGACTGTCTGGCCAGTGTCTTCAAGTGCTTGCTCCAACTTAAACTGGATGATGATGTGCCTTATTGGTTTGTTTTCTGCAAGAAGAACAACAGCCCACTTGTGAACTTGGAAGTTAGGGTTTCCTTTGGAGAGCTGAACTACATGATCATCCCCAAATGGACGAGATCTGAGAGATCTGAAATAATTGGTCTGCTCAGATAGACACAATGTCGATCTGGGTCATCTTGCTCATTCCAAGCAGGTACTGACATTTTAAGAAAGAATGTGTCTGTCAGAGGGGTTGATCTTGGTGGTGATGGGGATAGAGAGAAGGAGATTTTTACAGGCCTGTAAAAACAGAAAAAGAAGTGAATGAGAGGCCAGTGTTGGACAGAGCCCATCCAGGGCTCAGGGAAGGTTGTGCTCCAGCCTGAGGACCTTTTGGTTTGGTACTGGGCCAGGTATAACTCGTAGATGGTTGCTTAGGGTTATCAAGTCTTGAAGCCTTTGGACATCTGAATTCTCCAGCTGACCCCGTGGTTCTGATTTCATCCTCACTAACAGCCTACTGTTTAGAATTTGGCTCCTTAGCATGCCCAGGTACATGGTGACACAAACATGTTCACAACCATTCTGGTCCTCATTGAAATTAAGTAATCTGCATTTCAGATTATCTAAAAATATCTGAGCTGGGTTACTGGGACTCTAGCCCCAAGCAATGACTCTCATCTTTATGTGTTGACAGAATCAGGGTCTGGGTCTGAGTTGTAGACCCTGACTCTGGACTTTGATCAATGGATCAAAAAATAATGAGAGCTGCTGGTTGACAGTCAGCTAGAGCCTCGCAGCACCTTCTGGAGATGCCACTCCTTGAATCCACACTCTTTAAACTTGTCCTGTCTCAAGTCTGGCAGGTGTGTGTGGCATTATGACTCTCTTATTATTTAAGGGGCTAGAATCAAATTGGAGCTAAGCCAAGGGTCTAGGTCACAATGAAGAATGAGAAATCTTTTTGAAAGCTTCCTTACAGGGGCATCTTGGAATCTGACTACTTATTCCAAATATATATTTCCAGGCACAAACACCACCTACTCCCACATTTGTAGATCTTTAGGAGTTTGTATTGTTTTAAACACTTGTTCTCCAGAGATTTTAGCCTGTAAATGGAGCCCTTCTGTAGTAAGAAATGTCAGAGTCATGATCTGACCCTGAATCAACATGTGCGGTAAATGAAATATCCACAGCACCTAACACTGTGTGCGGGTTGCCAAGGCAACTATGGCACAGCCTGAAGTTTGTTTCAGGTCTTCCAGCACCCAGACTTTTACAAAGAACGTACGCATCTCCGAGGGCCGGTGTGCATGGTGGCAAGGCAGTTTCAGCACCCCCGCCTCTCCAGGTCTGTCTGCTCGGTGTGTGTGGCTCAACAGTGTCATGGGGCTGGGCCATCAGTGATGATCAAACTAACTGATAATGGCCAGGCCTCCACTTCACTCGAGCCTGTTGTAGCTCTTAGGGGGCAGGCAGCAATATTGTGGAGCTGCTTAAAGCCTCTCACATCCACAGTGTGGATAAAAGTGGAAGGAACACGAGGAGGGTCTTGGAACCTTAACTCTTTCGTATATTTTCTCAAACTGTTGAGAAAAATGTTTCAAAGTTCAGACAGCAGAAAGCCTATGTCATTTGCTGCGTCCTCTGACTGGCCACGTGAACGTTCTCCCTAGAACTGTTCAGTCTGCTTTTTCAGGAGAATGTATTTACCATGCTATTAAGTATAAAAAGCAGTTGACACTATTCAGTGGTTTATATTTTATATTGGGAAAATCTGGTGATTTATTTGCAGTACTTGTTTAAACTCTATTTTGAAATGTTACACTTTTGGAAAAGACATAAGAAAGTACAAAAAGCCTCTGTACAGCCTTCATCCAGATCTTTACCAGTTGTTGACATCTTGCCACTCAGCCTTGACCATTGCAGATCTCCCCTCCCCTTCCCTTCCCTTTCTTTTCTCTCCAAGCATACACACACACACTACAATCTTTTTATGAACCATTTGAGAAGTAAATGCAACTATCACCTTCCTTTACCCCTAAATATTTAAGTATGCATTACCTAAAAACAGGACCAGTCACTTATATAACCACTGTGTAATTAACAAAAGCAAGAACTTTAACACAAATGCAGTACTATTACCTGATCTACAGACCTTATTCAGATTTCTCCAGTTGTGTCAGTAATGCCTTATCTATAGCAAAACTTGTATTACTATTTTTTAAGGTCCAGGATCCAGTCCAGGATCACACATTGTATTTAGTTTTTTGCTCTGCTAAATCTCTTTCGGTCTAGAAGATTTCCTCAGGCTGTCTTTGTTATTCATGAAATGAACCATTTTAAAGAGCACAGGCCAACTATTCTACAGAATGTCCCCCAGGCTGGGTTTTCGGCCGCTCTCCTGGTTAGATTCAAGTTGCCCGTATTGATGTTTTTGGGCCCCCGTGAGCCTGTTGCTATGGATGATAATGTTGGCTCCCAGCACTTGGTGATGGTGCCATCCGCTAGCTCTCTGCACTATTATATAAGTGAAGTCACTGTTCTTTCTCTTTGTAATTAATAAATGATTTGTGAGGGGATGCTTCAGGACCACATAAACACCCTGTTTCTTGTCAAACGTCCGCCGCTGGTTTGGGCATCCCCGCCGCCCCCCACGAAGGGGCATCTCATGCGTGTTTCTGTTCCTCCCTCCCCAGTGGTGATCATGTGCGCGAGCAGCGCCACCATCCGCGGCATCATGCTGGCAGCGCACCGGCTAGGGATGACCAGCGGGGACTACGCCTTCTTCAACATCGAGCTCTTCAACAGCTCTTCCTACGGTAACTCTCTTCTGGTTTCCCCTTCCTCTGCTCAGGCGTCAGATGTGGTTGTAAGAAAGAGCCAATAATTTGTGTTGCCTCCATAATTTGATTTCTGTAAATAGGGTTTTAGAAAATTGTAGTTCTGAACACTCCAAGGACTTCTTGTAACTTCTCAAGTGTGTCTTCTCTGAGAACTCAGACAAAAAGATACCAGGCACCTGCGCGTGGAGGAACTTGTCTGGGAGTGCACGTGGCTCGCCCAGTGCTCCAGACTATTATACATCCAGGCCCCGAGACCCCTCCCCAGTGTCTTTGGACTGCCACGATGGGCTTTTGGAATAATTTTAGTGGGCTTTGGGCAGAATGTTTAATAGAATAAACTATTTTATAGTTCTAGTTCTAGAATAGACTAGAACGTATAATGTAACAGCATAGAACATGTTAAAGTGTGTCACATGTTGACTTATGTACTGTTTCATAAAATTTTTATTTTAGCAATATAACTGTAGTTTTATATGTATATATTTATGCATGTGACACATATGTTTGTAATGGGCCACAATGTGAAATAAATAAAATAACTATTACTGTAAATTGAAGTTTGAAAGCCACAGCTCCCAGCCTCCCTTCCTTCCAGATTATTGGCCTTTAAGCCTTTCATATATAGAAGTTTGAGATCCACCAACATATATGGTAAAGAGCATGTAGTTTCTTAAAATGAATCTGGGGAAGTTTCAGGGTTGCTTTGATGGATGATGTTTAAGGAGGCCACCAAGATCATAGGTACAAAACATTTTCCCCCAAATGTGGTTGGAGCTGTTTCTGAAGTAGGTGCTGTAGAGGGATGGAACATTTTCTTAAATAGGGCACATCAGCTGCTCCAAACTGCAGTTATAGGGAACTGTAAGTGTGTTTACCACAAATAGCATGTTTATGCGGAGCTCCACTTCCTAGTTTTTGCTGTCGAGATACAGTTAGATGGGATCTAAACCTTGAAGCATACACCTCAGGGTCCTCCTCTGATATCCTGGATTACTTAAGCAGTAGATCATTGTGCATACACAGATAATAAGACACACTTCTCACTGGGGTAAAGAGAAGTTGGTGAAACAAAAGTAGCCACTGCTTCCTGTAATGGATAAGATTGGAGATTTGAGGCTTGCAGGATAAGCATCCCATTTTTCCTCCTTGCTGCCATGATGGTCTTTCCCCCTCTCTTTGCACAAGCAGGGTGGTGGTTTCATTTCTTGACCCAAGATCAGAATGTAATTGTATTATTGACTGTAGTATTGAATTCACTGAGCTAGTGGTAGAGACTGATGAAAAATAAAGAACACTTATTCTGAGTTTTCCAAGTTGGCAACTGCAGATGTGGAATTTGAAGGCAATGCATGTGAATGCACATTATAAATGGGCAAGTGCAATGCAAATATGTGGAATTACAATGAAAAACAGTGTGATTCCTTTAATCCACAGGTAAAGCTTGTGTTACTTTTTCTTGCTTATTATAATATGTGAATATTACAGAAAATGTAGGAAACATTGAAAATCACAGGGAAGAAAGAAAACAAATTACCTTATTTTTGCAGCTCAGCTAAAAGGACATTGATAATACTTAGAAATATGTACATCTTGTCTATTTTATAAAACAAATATTATAAAAAAATTTTTTTCAATGGAATGATCACACCATTTAGAGTATGGCTACACAGTTTTTTATAATGTTGAAGTGCCATCTTACTTAAGTCTCCTATTTTCCTATTTTTCAATATTTATGTTGTTCCCAAGTTTTTACTATTAAGAACAATGCTATATTGAATAGCCTTGTGTGTGCTTGCATGAGTGTACACACACACACACACACACACACACACACACTCACATATTTGTATACATGTATATTATCTGTAAGATAAATTTCTTGAAATAGAATTTCTGGGTCAAAGGTCATGTGCATTTCAGTTTTCATAGACATCGATTGCCACATTTTCCTCTAAAAAGGTTTACCAATTACACTTCCGCCAACAATGTATGAGGTTGTCTGTTTGTAATTTACATCCTTGCATCATCTAAGTTTTGAATTATTTTATTTGAATTTCTTTTTATGTCCGTAAGCAGAGTTTTGCATTTTTATTTGTTTCTGTTCTGTACCATTCTTCTTAGTTCATTCTTAGATGTTTGATGTTTTATGGGTATTATTATGATCATAATCTTTTCCCACTACATTTTTTAACTGTAGCTATATAGAAAAGTAATGAGTTTTTTATTTTACAGGAATTCCGCATATTGAATCCTCCATTCTAATAGTTTTTATAATAATTTTAAATAGTGATAACAGTTTTTCCTCCATTTTGATAGTTGAATATATTCTTTTTCTTTTCTTATTATATTGGCAAGAGCCTCCAGGATATTACATAATAATGGTGATACTTTGTAACTGCTGACTTCTTTTACTGGAGTAGATTATTAAAGTATGCTTTTGCTCTTGATTATTAAGTATGGTTTTAAAAATCAGAAATGAGTGATGAATACATTTGACTCATTCTTTTAATAAGAATTCTTTCCTAATATTGAGCCATTGTGGTATTGGAATTAATACTTTATCATTGTGGGTTTTTTAGATGTATTGCTGATTTTAAGTTTTTAGTGGTTTATTTAGGAGTTTTGAGTCTCCATTCTTGAATGAACAGTAGTTTTCTTGCCTTGAGGTGGATTGCCAGATTTTAAAATCAGGTTTATATTAGCTTGATAAAATTAATTGGGACACTTTCCATTGTTTTTGTGCTCTAGAACAGTTTATATACCATAAGAATATTCCTTGAAAGATGGAAACAATTCAACTCTGTATCTGGACCTAACTTCTTTTTAGAGGTAATTTTTGAAAAACTTAAAAAAAATTTAGTTTGAAATAATTTTAGATTTATAGAAAACTTGCAAAAATAATATCTTTTACTCAGATTCCTCTAATTTAACAATTTAAATAATCATAGGATAATTATCAAAATAAGAAAATTAACATTGGTCATAATACTACTAACTAAACTATGACTTGTTTAAAATTTACCAATTTTCCTCCTAATTTTCTTTCTCTGTTCCATGATCCAATCCATTTAGTTGTATCTCCTAAATCTCCTCCAATCTATGTCATTTCCTCAATCTTTCTTTGTCTTTCATGACCTGACACTTTATTTTTATTATGTTATTTTGCAGAATGTCTCTCACATTGGATATATCTGGTATTTTCACATGATAAGGTTAAATTGATAATTTTTTGACAAAAATACTACAAAAATGATGTCGTATCCTTCTCACTGAATAATTTTAGTGCACATAATCATATATATATATATATGTGCCTTGTTGGTAATTTTAGGGTTTTTTCAAACTTATTTTTCTGTGAGTTCAGTTTTTCTGCTTCTTGAAAATTTAATTGCATAGAGTTGTGCAGTGTGTTCTTATACAATCTACAAAGTAACTTTGGTGTTTCCTGCTTAGGTTCCCTTTCTTTTACCATTCACAGCATGGTGGTTCAGGCTTTGCACTCTGGTGTCAGTCTGCCTGAGAGGCTGTGCCACATACTTGCTCTTGGCAAAATGACTTGACCCTGCCCTCCGCTGCAAGCCTTCATTTCTTCCTATGATTATAATGGCATCAGGCTAAGTAACAAATAAGGAGTGTATATGAGATACATAGCAAACTCCTTGGAACATGAGTGTTTAATAAATGTTAGTTATATTTATCATTAGTCCTGGTTTGACAATTACATACAGCACTTGAAAATGCTAGGTTAAGTTTGTACATTTTTCTATGGTGCAGTTTTATAGACAGATTTAGGGCAATATATTCTGTTACCAAGTTAACCAATTTCTATCTAATACATCCTAATGACCGTAGGTGCATTAGGAATGACATCTGCATGCAAATAAACAAGACTCCTAACTATAGTGATTTAAGCAAATGTAGAAGTTAACTCTCTCACCTGTAAGAAGTCCAAAAGTGGGCAGTTCAGGGCAGGGATGGTAATTCCATGATGACATCAGGGAATCCCAGTTTATTCTTGTTTCTCTGCTCCCTCAATCTTAGGGAATGGCATCCTTCCTCAAGATCACAAGATAGTGGCAAGGGCTCCAGGGATTATGTCTTAATTCCAGGCAAGACAAAGAGGGAAAGATGAGAGGCCAAAAGATTCTCTCAGTTGACTCAGTTCCATTTGAAGGACTCTCTGGAAGCCCCACTCATTAACTTCTGCTTATATATTACTTGCTACCCCTCATTTTGAGGGAGGCCAGGGAATGTTTGCTTTTAGTTGGACTCTCTGCTACCCTAAATCAATTTAGGAATCTGTTACTAAGGAAGAAAGGAGAATGTATGTAGGGAGGTTAACTGTGCATGTTTGCTGCAGACCCTGAAGCACATTTTCTCTTCAGAGCAGAAGCAGTAAACAGAATCTTAAGGCAGACAGAGTGTCCTTCAAGGTTCTGGTGTCCATCATCAGTAAAGGGCCTCCTCTGAGATCTTGTGCCTAAGAATCAGAATGTATTCATGAAAAGTTTTTAAAAGTCTTACTGTCTCCATGCTTTTCTCACACCAATCTCTACACCACTTCTAGAATAAGTGTCTGTTTTAATTATATTTACTTGATATTGGATTTTAAAAAAAAGCATATTGGTAGTGTGTCCATATTTACTAATTACTAGATTGTTTAGTCTTGGTGAGTATGCAAAACCATTCCCAGATCTGCCCAAATTATATTGTTACAGGAGTTTAGAATGTATTACAGGGGTATTCAGGTGATGGAAATAAGATCAGAGAGGTAGGTTCAAAAAAATTGAGAAAGAAGATGATACATACTGCCCTGCAGAGTTTTTAATACACCTGCTGGTATTCTCATGTGTTGGCATTATCTTCTTTGGATGTAAGTTAGGTGGAAAGTTAGTTGGGGGAGCCTGTCCAAGGCTATTGAGATTATTGTCAGAGGTTATGAGCCATAGTGCTCTGCAGCCCGCCCAGGTGGACCCCAGGCATTCACTTCTTGGGCATGTTCTGTGACGTCCCGGCCAGTGTTCAGCCCACAGTTGTGAACCCTTACTGTGTGCTGGGTCCCTGGTAAGTACAGAGAGCTGCAGGGTGACACAGTCTTCCCGTGGGGGTACCCCTGACTGCACCATGTCCCTGGCTGCAGCATTGCTGAACGCAGGGCGTGGTGCCAGGCAGGTTATTTCCTCTCTCACGAATATTCTGTACCCTTTTCACTCTAAGTGCCAGCCCTGGACTCCACAATGACAAAACAAAGCAAATTCTCTTTCCCTTCTTCCTGAAACAATTGCAAAGAATCACTTTCTCTGCCCTGCTTTTCCCTAGCAGACTTCCTTCTCCTCTACTTATTCCCTTGTTCAGGACCATTGTAAAAACATGGCATTAGTATTCACCACTCCTCTGAGTGTGCTACCCTCAAGGTCACCAAGGGCCTCCTCATTACCAAAGCCATTAGCCTTCCTTCAGACCATGCCTCTATGCCTCTCAGGCAGCGCTCTGCCCATTGGAGCTTTCTGTGATGCTAGTTACATTCTGTTCTGTGTTCCCTAATATGGAGGCCAGTAGCCACACTTGGCTGTTGAGTACTTGAAATATGGCAAGTACCACTGAGGAACTGGATTTTTAATTTTGTGTAATTGTATTTAATTTAAATTTAAAAAGTCACACATGTTGCTAGTGGTTACTATATTAAACAGCATGGCTCTGGAGCATTCTATATTGTTCCCATCCATTTCTTTATGGAAACCCTTTTTCTTAGTTTTGGTGGCACCACATTCTTGCAGGTCTCTGCCATCTCCTCTGTGTCTCTCTTAGCCCTCCTGGGCGCTAAAAACCGCCTCCCCGAGGGTCTGTGCTCGCCCCTTCTCCCTTCTCTTTCTGCACTCTCTTCTTATCTAAGCCATATGGAAATGACATCCAGCACCCCAGGCCTCACTCCTCCTTCGGCCTTCAGACCACTATTTCCAACGCCAGCCGGCTGTTGTTACCTGTGCATTCTGTGGTTAGTCACCTTGGGCTGACTGTGACCCTCACTGAAATCACTATCGCTTCCATGCCCACCTAACCTTTCCTCCCCCGCCCAGCTCTGTTCTTCCCTCTAATGAACCTGCTTTCCTTTCCCCTTTGGCGTCACTGATGACGCACCTCCCTCTCTGTTGTCCCTTACTCCCTAACTCTCGTACAGTCCTGAGATTCCTCTTGCGCTGTCCACTGCTTTCATTCTCAAGGGCTCTCCCCTTTTTTATGATTATAAAAGCAGTAAATATTTATTGTTGAAAATATACTAAGTTCTGTAAAACACATTTCTAGAGAGAATGCCTATGATTCTAACCACCCGAGAACCATGTTTAATTTTGGGGGGGTGTGACTTCCCACATATAACCTCTTGTAACCTCTTGCCTGGATTACGGTGGCTGTGAACCCTCAGTGTCTCCCCACTCTAATCCACTGCTATTTCCCAATGCATGATTCTGATCATGTCATTCTTCTGTTCCGCTCATAAATCTCCAGAGGCACCCAGTTGTCTACTGAATTAAATTTGTCCCCACTCATGGGGCGTCATGCCAGGCTGCCCTCTGCTTTCTCAGCATTCAGCATTCCCAGTGTGGGAGATGTTACTGACACATCCCAGTAAGAAACACCCACAAAACCAGAAAGTCATAGTATCCATTATGGGTGTGACTAGATACCTATTTGTGTGGCTTAAATGTATTAAGCACTGTTGTTTCCATTCTTCTTCTAGCAAACAAAACTCGAGTTATTACTGTTTAGATTGTGGTGACAGATTTTTCATCCTGGATTTAACTTCTTTCAAAATAAAAGAGAAATGTTTCCCATTTTAGTAACTGAGACAGTCGCTGTTTCCAGGTCTGTGTCATTTCTAATTAAGCAGCATAAAACCCTAGAGGGTTAAGTATTTCCTTTCTATGCCCCTGGAGAGAACTCTTTCCCAGAGCTGAGAAGCCGTGACCCTTTTTGCCTAAGCATCATCACTCCTGCTGAGTCTTGATACTGTGAGTCAATTATAAATGAATCAGTAAATATTGGTTCCATGTTTATAAGAAATGGTCTTGAGATGAAGATGGTGTGGACATTCTTAGAATTTGGAGTCTCCCTGGGAAAAGGATTTAGCTTCTTAACAAAGGCCAGCTGGTCTGTGTCTTGCGCCCCCTGCTGGGATTACCCTGGCTGATGGCAGACGGGGGCAGCAACCTAGGTCTCTGCACGTAGAGCTGCTGCTCATGGTGTGACCTCCTCAGCGTTTGGGAGGTTTCCTGTGGGAGGAGGAGGACTTTCTCAAGTTTTGTTTGATGGCTTGAAATTTAATCTTGTGTTTGTTGTGAACAGATCTAGTCCTTAATGAATTCTGTCCTCAGCTTTGCCTTGCTTATCTTTTAACAGCTCCCTGGAATATAGTATCCCATTAATAAATGGTTGCTTTTATTAGGGTTATGATTATACAGATGCCTCCACAAACAAATTCTTTGTCCCTGCCTTTGCTCATGCTGCAGACCCAGGTTCCCAGCTGCCTGCTGGATGTCATGCACATTTGCACCGTTGCCCAAGGCAGAGGCTCTGCCAAGATGCCTTTCCATCCTCCTCTCCTTCTGTTAAAATCCTATTCACACGTTAGGACCAGGCTGATGCCTCCTCCTCACCTGAAAGCTTCCCCCACTGGAGCTTATTGCCTCTTCCTCTGTACTCGGCATTGTGTCTCTATACCCTCCCTCTCCCGTGGGAAGCCAACTGTTACCCTGTAATCACTTCACTTGCTTATATGTTGGTCTTTAAATCCCTCTCTTGAAGGTGGGGGAGACTGTGCAAGATGTTTATAATACCCCTGTGGCGGCTTTCACAGAACCAAACATGTGGCACATGGCTAACTGATGTTTGTCTGATTTAAGCTATGATAGAAATTCCAAAGCCACCAGCTCTTTAGTGAACTTTTTCTGTAAGAGTAGAGTGAGTGCCACGGGGCCCTGGCCACACAATCAGGGGCAGCCTCCCTGCCCAGCTGTGGGCTCCTGGTGTCTGCCGCAGACGGGAGGCTTGGGGCAAACGAATGGCCTTGGTGTTGGACTCCAGCAGGCAGAATTCCTGTATTTCCAGAGATCTCCAGGCAACATAATATTAACTCAGAGAAACCAGAGTTTATTGCCAAAAGTTAAAGGTCTGTATTTCCTTCTGGGGCCTTGTAGGTCCCATGTTTTCTCGAACAATGAGATAATAAAGAGGGCAGTAATGGTTCTTATCCATGTAATTTGTCTTTGATTTTATGAAAGAGAGGGCTGTGAAGAGGGGCACCCAGCTTCTCAATGCCTCAGTTTCCTCATCTGTACAATAGGATAATGGTACCCAAATCTCAGAGTCTTGTGAGGATTAAATGAGTTTATGCATATAAAGTGCTCAATAAATAGAGCTTTTATTATATGTGTTCAATAAATATTAGCAATTTTTATTTTATGACGATTGATGCACTGATGAACACATGTCCAATAAATAATGTTTGTGATGTTGTCAGCACTAGAGCAATAGAAATCTCATGTTCACCTAAACTACTTTCACTATGAAGAGATTCCAGAAGTATTTCAGGAAATATAAATAATCTCAAACTTTTCCTTTTAACAGTTCCAACTTTATCATACTTGTGCACATCTGTTGTCACACATAAGCATTCCTGCCATTCCACATAACATCACGTTTATTGTATCACAGTGACACTCAGTTGACCTCCACAGTTGAGTGTAGGTATTAAAAAGTGAGTGTGAATGGAAGGGAATGAAAACTGGCTTCTTTCTGCAGTGCTGCAATTCTTCTTTGGGACCGAAATCATAGTTACATGGTTATTAGAAGGCAATTCACTCCATGGTGCTTTTCTTTCTCTCTCCCATTTCAAAGGAATGCGTGTTGAAAGGGCTTCCTTCTCCTCTGAGGATCTTGATTTTGGTCACTTTTGCACCCAAGTGCAAAACTATGACAATACCTCTTGCCCAGGCTGCCAAAAGTAACATGCAGAGACACATGGCAGTTGAAAAGGGAGAATGGCCCCTTTATGGTGACTGCCTCGGAATTATAAATATTTTGATTTCTCCCTTAGGAGATGGCTCGTGGAGGAGAGGAGACAAACATGACTTTGAAGCTAAGCAAGCGTACTCATCCCTCCAAACAATCACCCTACTGAGGACAGTGAAACCTGAGTTCGAGAAGTTTTCCATGGAGGTGAAAAGTTCTGTTGAGAAGCAAGGGCTCAATGAGGAGGATTACGTAAGTCTTGATGATGAGCCTAGACCTTCAGCATCCTGAAAACAGTCTCCTAATTAAATCAGAGGTGACAAAGCGTCCCATTCTGAACCATTCAGAAATTCCTAGGTGCATGTCTGAATGCCACTAAGCTTTCTGTGTATTTCTTTCCTGCCAGTTTTCCTCCTGCCTCTCCCTGCTCCCTGGCGCCTCCATCAGCCCCACCCTTCGCTTAGGCTTTCCCAGCTGCTGCAGGAAAGAAAATTGCTTTTTGTGGGTACTTGTGGTAATGCTGAGCAGATGTCTGTAGACTTCCATTGCCTATTGGACCAGGAGTGTGTTGGGGGAGAAGATGGATGAAGGAATGCCAAAGATTTGCATGCCCAGTTTTTCCAAAGCTTGGTGGCAGGAGGTATGTGGGGTTTCAGAAGGCACTTTGTTTTGGCAGTCTGTCTTGGCTTCATGGCAGTCCGCTGCTCTGTCTTGTGGCGGAGTTGCTGCCCCCATCGTAAGCTGTTTCCTCCTCAGATATTCCCGAGCTTCCCACTCCGTTAGTGCTGCTGCTCCTGACGCATTTTCCGCGTGTGGACTAGCGTTGGCAGCTAGGCCAGGCTGAGGACTGAGCAGAGGAACTCGTCTGAGAGCTGGCCCGGAGGATGGTTGGCCCCCCTCACATGGTGCCGTCGTTTTGCTGCCTCTGGCCCGTTTTGCTGTGTGGCCCCTCAAACCTTTGTGTCACTCCTGCAGCTTCTTTCTCAGAGCAGGGTGAGCAGTGGGCCTCTCCAGCTGGTTGGGTAGCTGTGCTAGTTTTCAAAACTGTTCACTCCATAGTGTCCAAAGTAGAAAAGGAGCACCTTCTGAAGGACAGGTATATTGTCCTTGGATTGTCCCTGCCCAAGATGGAAAATGACCATCCTCATAAGATATGGCCACTTCCGAATAGGGCCTCTCTCAGATTCTTTACCTGAAGTACTGCAGAGGATGGGCATTGGGCCTCAGACCACCTGCCTTTGGAGCCTGAATCTAGCACTTCCCAGCTGTGCCAGCTGGGGCATTATGCAGTCTTGTTGATCCATACTGGGAGCATGACAGATAATCTATCTGAAGCATTTAGCACTGTCCCTGTCAAACTTCAGTTCACTGTACCCATCACAGGCTCTTCAGCCCCTGCTATTGACCTCAGATCCAGCAACTTTGGTGGGCTCTTTTACTAGTTCTAAAATTTACCACGCGTTTTCTAACCAGTCACATGGCCTGCCAAGAGTGACAATTTTGTTTCTTTTCAATTTTTCTCCTACATTTGCTTAATTAAAAGTTATACTTAGTGTAATTACATACAATTAATAAGATTAAAACAATGGCACTGGCTAGGATCCCAACACTGTGTTGAATAAGTGGGCATTCTTTTTTTTATACAGTCTTAGGCTGGTTTCAAATACACAACACAGGTGGTTCAAAAGTTACCCATACTATCAAATCCTCACCCCCTCCAGGTGGCGGTCACCAGCCATCAAGGTAGTAAGATGGTACAGACTCGTTAACTGTATCCTCCATGTTGTACTCCTGTCCCCGTGACCAACCTACATTTTGATTGTGAATTATTGTTCCCCTTTACCCCCCTTCACGCTCCCCCATAAGTGGGCATTCTTGCCTTGTTCTTAACATTAATATACAGATTTTGTATCTTTTCATATCAACATTTAAATATGCTGTTTATTGTGAGGTTTTTGGGGGACTATTAGAATATGGAAGTTTCCTTTTATTACTTGTTGGTAAAGTTTTGTTTTGTTTTGGCAAAACTACACCTTTTATTAGGATAACAGAAACAAAAATAGCACCACAAGCACTAAAGTTTATATAACGTTGGTCAGGGAAAGGCTCTGCACACAGGTCTTCATTTAGGCATTATTAATTGTATCATAGCCCTGACTCTATGTCATATATGTTAATATCCTACTCATTGTATTAGCATGTTGGTGGCACCCTTGGAAAGGCTATGATCTCAAAATGCAAAGATCTGAAACTTCAAAATTTTTATAAGGCTATACTGAAACATTGGAAGAATGGAGTGACTTTTATGCTCTTTTTAAAATTGACTGTTTTATTGAGATAATTGCAGGTTTACATGCAGTTTTAAGATGCAATATAGAGATCATTTGTATGCATTGCCCAGATTCCCCCAATGGTAACGTTTTGGAAAGTTATATACAAGATTATCTTTCAGATATTGAAACTGATTCAATGCACTGATCTTATACTTTGTGTATGTATGTGTGTGTGCCCCTGTGTATTAAGTTCTAGTTTATTAACTGTGTAGGTTGTGTGTTTGAATTTTACAAAATGCCTTTGATATGTCTGTTTTTATAATCAAATGCTTTTTTCTTTATTCTTTTATAACTTTATGAGTTACACTACCAGATTTTTCCTTTTTTCTGGTTTTATTGAAATATAATTGACACATAACATTGTGTAAGTTTAAGGTGTACTCATAATGAGTTGATATGTGTATATATTGCCAAATTATTAACACAGTAAGTTAACATCCATCACCTCACATAGTTAAAACATTTTTTTTCCTTGTAATGAGAAGTTTTAAGATCTACTCTTTTAGCAATTTTCAAATATGCAATAGAGTATTGTTAACTATGTTCATTATGCTGTGGATCCTACACAGGACTTACTTATCTTAAAACTGGAAGTTTGTACATTTTCACTACTAGGTTTTCAAATTTTAATCATCTCTGTACTTCTGGCATAGGGGATCTCTCTCTTCTGGTCTCTGCCTCAAGATTTTGAGCTTCTTTATTTCCCAGATCATATTTTGGAAACTAAAATTATGGTTGAACCTATACATGTTTGCTAAGGTAGAACTTTCCAGGCTGGCTCATATCCAAAGCTATTGGCAGCCAGGAGCTTAGCATCTCTGGGTCAAATGTTGAGCCCTGTTTTTCACTCATCTGTGGTGGGTGATCGGGTAGGAACATGTGTGGGGTGATAGAATATAGGGCTGCTTAGGTCTGGGCTGTCACTGGGCTGTGGGTGTTACATATACTGTAATGGTATAGCTACTGGTGCAGGTGTCTTATGGCAGAGTCTCCACCATTCTTATGGGTAACTTAATAATATTTTTGAAAGTACATTTATCTTCTTACTAGTGAACCTGGTGGAAGCCTATTCCATTCTCATACATCATGTTTTAATAGGGTCCAGTAGCCACCACTAGAGACAGAATAGACTAATGGTTAAGTATGCAGGCTTGGAATTTCATATTCTTATCTTGTGTTCTTATTTTGGGCACATTTCTGAAATTCTGTACCTTAGTTTACTAGAAATAATAATTTTTAACTGACAAGGCTGTTGTATAATATAGGACTGTATATAAATAATATTTAACATAATGCCAGGCACTTAGTGTATATAATGGATGGTAGCTATTATTTCTCTTCTGTTTCTTATACCTCAGACCAGTGTATCTGATGCTCCTGCATGCTTAATGTACCTAGTACTCCTATACACCCTTCAGATCTTAACTCAGATCCACCTTCTCAGGGAGGTGTTTGCTGACACTCCAGACTACCTTGTGGCACTCTGCCCTTTTCCATCACAGCTCGCTTCTCAGATTGTGATCATACACATATGTGTGGGATTTTTCTAAGTAACTTTGGCCTCTTCTACCACACTGCAAATTCTGAGAGAGCAGGAACCATGTCTGTTTCTGCTTACTCTTGTATCCTCTTACTGCTTGGCACATAGGAAGCAGTCAATGACAGTAAGCTATTATTGTTTTAGTTATAAGTGAACCAGAGGACCTCTAATCCAACTCACTCAGTGGTGGAAACTGGGGGCCAGGGAGGTGGGGCAGCCTTTCCAAATGTAACCAGTATACTGAAATCAGTGCAGTGTTGGTTGGTGATTGAGTCCTGTGCCTTGACCTTCTCAGGTACACAAAGCCAGTTTCATTTATATGTGGGAGATGGTCTTAGGGGATTGTAATGGGTTTTCACAGTGGGGGTTCTGAGATCTTCTGGGAGTCATCAGTTAGAAGTTAAAGAGGTCCTCCAGTGTCAGTGGGACCACAGTGTGGCTCAGACAAGTGGTGGCCGAGTGCCTGCCTGGCCTTCTCTGGTGGTTTTTATTAGGTTGCCCACATGTGCAGTAGCTTTCACTCGAGGGTGTCTTAATGGAGGTGTTTGGCCTTTGCCATGCAAGTGGTTCCAATTCTAGAGCAATGGTATTTGGTTTCAGAATGCGTTGTATGGTGGCCAATCCAAGGTTAGTTCCATTCCCTGACTCCAGGTTCAGTGACTCATTTTTTCCACTACATCAGTCTGACCCTTTCAATAACAATGTGCTCAATGTGGGGGCAAACCCATGACCTGAAGATTAAGTGTCTCAGGCCTTGCAAGTGAGCCTGGCAGGCAATGCAAGCTGAAATGCTTCCTTCATTTCCCTGTACCCTACCTTCCCAAATACACACCTTTAAGATATCAGTTTCTCTTTACTCTTTCTTACACTTGACAGAGTCTGGCTAAGACTGTCTTCTCTGCATCTGTAGTGATCTGCTTCCCCTGTTTTCTTCTGAAGTGCAAACCATCATTTCTTAGATAATCAGGTGCTGTTATTGAGTGCCCCAGGGAACATGGCAGTGAGCTAGATCCTGGACTGTGCAGTGGTCCCATCTGGGATGGGATCCTCATCACCTAAAAATATTTCAGTGGGTTTATAAATTTCCATGGCCATGAGCTCTGAGAGCCCAGAAGAGTTGCATTCCTATTCCAGCTATGAATATAAAACATCATGCACCTCAGTGTACAACATTCTGACATGCTGATGGTACTCGCAGAAGATTGGACAGTTGATTTTGTACTGACCAAATGTGTTATAGAAAATATCTGTGTTTCTAGAGAAATGAAATCAAACACAGTGGAGTGGTTTCACTCAGTCCTTTAGTGGGAAGCTTCTTCCAAATTCATCCAAGTTTCTATGACCTCTTTATGTGGATGAGAGTTTCCTGACTCTTAGCA